TGGAAGAAAAGCAGTATGGACACAGTTTGAGGGTCAGCCTTTCCCAGCTGTTTACAAATGCAGAAGAGAATTTAGGCCTGTTGATGTCTCCACAGGGAACAACAAAGTTGGAGTGCTTACTTTCCTGATTGTAGAAATTACAGAAAAGTCAGCCTCTCCTTTTGCCAGTTCTGAGATTGTGCTAGGGTGGAAGAATCCTGGTGAGGGAAGACAAGAAGTAAAAGGGGATTGCAGCTGAAATCTTTTGTGTATAGATGTCAACCCCTCACCTTAACTGGGTAGCCCAAACAAGCCCAGGCCATTTTTGCCACAGTTGCATACTTGCTTCTTATTAGGATATTCACATATATACCCAGAGACTGCATCCTTGGTCAGAAAAATAGTCCATCTAGTCCAGACTCTATACTGCCTCCTAAATAAGAAGGGTTCCTCTGAATAATCATCTATATACCCATGACTAAAACCTATACTGCTGTACAGAGGGATTTAGATCACAGCTACATAAGAAGCCTTAATCCTGGCATCTCCTATCTTTGAAGCTGGAATGTTTTTTCAGTCTTTTTTTAGATCCTATATTAATATTAATATGCCAATTAATTGTGTAACATGATGAGTAGCATTTGCAGTATCTCTTTGTGATCTAGAAAAGAGGTAGGGGAGCAACCTTTGAAGGTGACACAAAGTTATTTAGGTTAGGCTGAGCCAGTGGAGAGGAAAGAATCCTTGTCATGTCCAGCATGAGCATGTGGGCACTGGGATGACAAAGCTATGTTGGTGCTCATTAATGCAAAATCATGTCCAGCAGATGTACTAACCTGAAGCATTCTGAACAGTGTTTGGTCCTAAATCATGGTCAACAAAGTCCAGGAAAGACTGGGACATTCACCTGAAAGCTCAGTGTAAATCAGTAGTCAAATCACAAACCAGATGTTGGCATGGAAAACACACTCATTATTATGACATTACAGTGCCATCAAGGTTTAGCGATTCCCCTGGAGTATTGCATTTGGTTCTGGTCAGCCTGACACTCTACTGAGACCTACTCAGAAGGGGTAATTTAGCTTAAACAGCTTACTCTCCCTGTGATCCCTCTGCAGACAACAGCAACCTTAGGGCTCTCTCCTAGGAGGCATTTCAAGCATCTCAGTAGATTACTGTTCTCCACCATCCTTCAGAATAACCTGGTTTTATCCATTAAAACAGAGGTTAATGTTAGCCCTTTCTCTATCAATACACACAAAAATGTAAGGTATGGTTAATGAAAACTGTTAGGGAAGTTGGGAACAAAACCAAATTTAGACTGAGGAAGCTCTTTGATTTATGAAGGGAGCAGTCAGAAGTGTACAAGCTAAGTCATGAGCAGGTAGACCTGTCACTCCTCCCAGTTGTTTCACATGAACAGCAAAACCTATCAGTGACATTGAGAGGCAGGGGATGGGAAAGGAAGGCTGTTCCACTCATTGAGGGGGTGAAGCTTCATTGCCTCAACTGCCTTGCAGGATTGAAAAAATGCCATCCACTCCCTAACTAATGAGACTACCAACAGTTATGGTAGCCAGGGTTAACACGTGAGCAGCCCCAGGGCTGGGGTAGCAGTGCTTCAGATTAGGATTTAACTTCTTAATGTAGAAGCTGGAGTCTCATATTTGCCCTTCCATGAATGAGCAGTTTATTCACTGGTTACCCACTCACACAGCTTCTGCATTTCTCCCTAAGGTATCTGGCACAGCTATGCCCAGAGACAAAATATCCCACCCGCTGGACTGGTCCTTGGTTGAGTATACTGAGTGACACAGCTGCTAGCTGTGCAGAAGGGGGAAAGACCACAGGAACAAGCCTGAATGTGCACCTCAGAGCAAATGATGAGCCAGATGGCCCTGAGTGAAAACTCTCACCTTTCCAGTGAGGTTCCTGCCAGGCCATTACTCCAGCCATAATATGGCTGGAAAAAAATAATGAAAGAGGCTGCACAAACTCATTGTAAACATCCCACTGACCTTGGGGTCGATCAGTTATACCTAAGCCATACCTAGCAGAAATCTATCTAACCTGTTGTTACAAGAGCTGGAAGATGAGGATGCTCTGCTCAGCAGGGGCATGTCACTCTTCTTCACCATCCTCAGCACTAGAGCATTTTCCTAGTGGAACTGGATTCCTTTTTATCATGCCTTATCCACTATGTCCATTAAGCGTAGATAAAGAATCAGAGCTCCAGAGAGATACTTTGAACCTTGGGCCTTCTATACATGCAGCATCTTTCCCCACATTCAGCGGTCTCCTTCAGGCATTGGCACAAGCATCTGGGTTGCTGTCAGCACTGGGAAGGTTGGCTTCCCTCTTACTTGCAAGGGGGTCTTCTCCTTGGCCACACCTTTTCCTGCTGTTCAGCTCAGAAGCACAGGATGCTCAAAGCTATGCAGCAAAAGGCCCCACCAGCAAAAAGCTCCACACCCACTCCCTGTGTCCTCCCCTCCTTGCTGCGCATCCTCTTCAAAAGGGCCACAACTGCTCCCAGGTGCGAAAGCACACCCACCACTCATGTCTTTCTCACAGCTCCCTTCTGCTCAGGTGCTCCCTGCATTTTACAGTCTGCTGCATGAGCACTGGCAGCAGGAACCACACGGGATCTCACATTCTGCCTCAGTTTGAAAGCTCCCTCTGAGTGTATTTGTGGTGGGCCTGTACAGTCCCTCCCTGACTCTCAGCACAAATGTACACACACACGTGTACACATGTACACACACACACGCAATCCTGTGTGTGGCCCATATTGCTCCTCTTGTACCTACAATCATAGAATCATGGAATAGTTAGGGTTGGAAAGGACCTTAAGATCATCTAGTTCCAACCACCCTGCCTGTTTCCCCATTGTAAAAGGCAATTTGGTGGATTTAGAAAAAGGCAAATCTTATCAAGCTGCACCTCATTTTTAAATTGTATGGAACTAGAAATCACCTGATTGGTTGTTTTAGTCTTTTTCTCAGGTATGGTGATTATTCCTAATTCACGGGCTTCACAATTCCGTGCCCCTACTTTTAACAGGAGCATTTTGTTTGTCTTCTTCTAGTCTTCTTTAAAAAAGGCACTAAGCTTTCTGAGCATCATCTGCCAATTTTCCTACCCATGGATTAATTCTTCCTCTGGGTTCCCTCTTCATTGCTATCAAAAATGCCTTTAAAATGCCCTATTAGAATAAGCAAAGAATAGAAAAATTTTATTTTGTGCCTTAAACCTCCTGATTTTGTCTCTGTATGCTCACACTGAGGTTTTTTTAAACATTCATTTTTAGATATTTGACCTAGTTTCTATGTTCTGCACACTCCCTTCTTGCACTTGAGATTATTGAACAGCTTGTGATTTCACAGATAACTTTTACTGCATTTTCTATCCTTTCTACACACCAAAATATTTTGTGACTTTGTTCCTACTGTATTTTGTTTTGGTTTGGTTTTGTTTGTGGGGGTTTTGTTTTGTTTGTGGTTTGTTTGTCTGTTTAATTTCTTTCATGAACCATCAACTCTTTCTGGAGCTCTTTTCTTCCATAGATTTGATTCCTAGAGATTCAGAGCAGTCCTGCCGAGAAGGACTTGGGGGTGTTGGTTGATGAGAAAATGAACATGAGCCGGCTTCAGTGTGCGCTCACAGCACAGAAAACCAACCGTATCCTGGGCTGCATCAAAAGGAGCGCGACCAGCAGGTCGAAGGAGGTGAGCCTGCCCCGCTGCTCTGCTCTCGTGAGACCCCACTTGGAGTATTGTGTGCAGTTCTGGTGTCCTCAACATAAAAAGGACATGGAACTGTTGGAACAAGTCCAGAGGAGGGCCACAAGGATGATCAGGGGACTGGAGCACCTCCTGTATGAAGACAGGCTGAGAAAGTTGGGGCTGTTCAGCCTGGAGAAGAGAAGGCTGCGTGGAGACCTCATAGCAGCCTTCCAGTATCTGAAGGGGGGCCTATAAGGATACTGGAGAGGGACTTTTCATTAGGGACTGTAGTGATAGGACAAGGGGTAACAGGTTAAAACTCAAACAGGGGAAGTTTAGTTAAGATATAAGGAGGAAGTTCTTTACTGTAAGGGTGGTGAGGCACTGGAATGGGTTGCCCAGGGAGGTTGTGAATGCTCCATCCCTGGTAGTGTTCAAGGCCAGGTTGGACAGAGTTGGTTTAGTGTGAGGTATCCCTGCCCATGGCAGGGGGGTTGTAAGTAGACGATCTTAAGGTCCTTTCCGACCCTAACTAGTCTATGATTCTATGACTCTATGATTCTGATTCTATCATAAGAATTTACCTGCTAGTATCCCCTGTGTTCATTAAAGTCTACTGCCTTCAAGTCCTTTGCCTTCAGGTTTATGTTACCCTTCCTTCACTCCCTGAGGCCTAAAAATCCTGTAACTCTCTCACAACCATTGTCCTCCACCTTCACACTCCCCAGCTGTTGCTCTCCTGTGGTAGGAACTGACCCCAGGATTGCCACCTGGGGAGCTGCTTTCAGTGCTGCTGCATCACAAAATGCCAGTGACACACTCACTGAGCAGGCTGTGCCCTAGTTTATCACATTCTTCATAACTACTGGAGTAGTCAAAGACATCCCCCCCCATCCCTCCCAAACCAAACAGCCCTGTTTTTTTAAATTATTCTGCTAGGTGCTCAAGAAAGAGCCTCACCTGTCTGAGGTTCTCAGTTAGGGAAAAGAAGATGAGTGTGATGGACATGATTATTTTAACCATATTATTTCCACCAGATTTAGAGATCTGGTGCATAGTGTTCTACACTTTTTGTTTGCGAAGTAATGTATGTATCTGCTTTTCCCTCGCCAGTTCATGTTTCTCCAGTTCACTGCTTTCCATTTCTTCTTCATGTATGCAGCCTTATGTAGACTCTGCAGAGCATCCTAGCGGGAAGAGAGGGCAGAGATCCGGCGGTCTCTAAACCTTCCCTGCTTGCGAGACGTGAGAGTTGCACAGAGGAGCACCTCTAAGGGAGATTACTTTAGTCTTCTAAAAGGTCACATAAATTAGGCAGTATGATTTTGCCCAAAACCAGCCGTGATTTGAGGACCAATTTATTTCCCACTCCTTTACTAGGCAGCTTTTCTTCTTGAACCGAGACAATTTAAAATTTCGTGCTGAGACCATGCTGGATCACTCAGTTCAGTTTGATTTGATTATGTCAACTTCATTAGGAATTGACCCTACAATCTGAAACAGAAACATCGTAGCTACATTAAATACCAATAAAATTATGTGCAAATACAAAGATTAACTCATTCTAACGTGACTTTTTTTGCTGCATGATCCTGTCATCCTCATCCACATAAAAATTATTCAGCCACAAAAGGCCCTTGAGCATAACATGACATTTACAGCATCTCTGAGTATTTCTTGTTTATTTCTCATAAATTTCCTTTGGTAATAACTTAGTCACTCAGCAACACTCTACAGTATACACACACATTACATGATCACCTCATATTTTATACAACACACGTTAAAGTAATTAATTTTCCCAGGCAAATGTCATGCCGTTTAGTTCATCATTAGGAGCCAAATATTTGTGCAACCATTTGTTACAAATATATGCAGAACACTTCAGCTCCGTGGTATTTATTAAGCGTAATTTAAAGGGACACTGCCGAGGTTGTTACAGTCTCAACTTTCACATTAGTTTTTGTTCAACTTGAAATTCCCTTAAGGATTCAACCTCAACTCATTTCTTTCTTTGTCAACTATCCTTGCTACAGCATTTAGCACACAAAAATAAATATGGTCTCACTGTGGCGTGGAACATACCGGTGACCAGCTAATGTGGTGGTCTAGCATTACAGAAGGTTTCATCTATCATTTAAACCTTCTTTATCTTTTCCATTGACAAGATTTGGAGTTTGACCTGTCTTTAAGGTAGAACCATAGCAAGTAAGAATAGGTACACCCTTCATAAAAAGAACTGAGCTTAATCACAAATTCAAACTGAACTTCAAGTTAAGACATTTCTTTCTGTGCTATCACAGGTTACCTCCAACCAAATAGACAAAACACCATCAGGACAGTGGCTCTAATTTCAATGGATAGAAGAGAAGCAGGCCATGCAACATCAGGACCAGTTGCCTTGAAAAATACATTTTAAGGGCATGAAACTTCTCTGACAGGTAATGAAGTCTGCTTCTCCTATTCCCTACATTAGGTCTTACCCATACCCTCACACACTGATACAAAAGCCCTTCAGAGTACATTTAGAGAGAAGAAGGGCAGCAGTGGAGCCCTGCAGTAAGAACTTGTGCTCAGAGACTTGACAAGGCTGAACCAGACAGCTCCATTCAAGCTAACAGCCCAAGAAATCTTATTCCCTGCAGACCACTTATTCTTCAGCACGTTCAATCAACAGGTTTGGAAAGGGGGACTTGACACTTTTCTCACTTATTTTGGCCTTTGATGAGAAAAGCAGCAGTGAAGAAAAGCAGCAGCACAAAAAGTGGTACTAGTGGAAATGAGAAGGGGTAGGAGGAAGCACAAGCCCAAGAAAGCAAAAAGACAGGAGAAAGAAATATTGAGAAGACACAGCAGAGATGAGAGTGACTGGAACAGTGCAGCACCTTGGTGAGACTTCTTTTAGGTTATTGTGAATAGCCACCTTTATTCAAGGAAGACACAGACTGGAACAGGCAGAGAGAAAAGCAGACAAAATTAGGTGTTCAGAAGAATGATGAACTATCACACAGTGGAGTGCCAAAATGTCTGGTTCGCTAAACTTGGCAAAGAGGTGAAAGGAGATGTGATTGCTATCTGCCATTACACAAGGAGTAGGCATCAAACGGCACAAAAGACACATTACTCAAAGGACAATGCCAAAATAAGGATTTTCATCCTTTTCAGGATATGTTTCCCTTGGATGCCTCTAGGCTGGAAGTTAGAATAACGTCCTAATCAGCGAAGGGATTAGGTTTGGGGTAAACCTCAATTCCTAACTTGTTCATAATTGACTGATTTCAAGTTTTGAGAAGCTGGCATTGACCAAGGCTTTTGATCCATACAGATGACCTCATTATCATTAAGGCAGAGCTTGATTAATTTAAGAAACCGTTTCTGGTGCAGTGCCCGCAATTGTCAGTGTCTTGGTCTCTCTGACTGAGGGGATTAATGTCACTCCTGTTCCATTATTATTCTGGCAGACTTCACCAGGTTTGAGACCACTGCTTGGAAGCCCAAAATGTACTTTCTCCTTTGATATCTTACACTGCCTTGATTTTTTCTATGGACAATGCACTATCATATTTGAAGCAGAATGGATGAGTTCTCAAAGCAGCTTTGATCTGTCCTAGATCCTCAAAGCAGACTGCAAGCATAGCTTGAAAGCTTTTTATTTAAAATAAGTGACATTTCCTCCCCTTTCATTTTAATTGAAATAGATGCTGAATGCAGGGCAAATTGTATTGTAAGCTTGATTGCAGAAAGCAAGTATACTTCTAAACCAGCCTTGATCAATAACTGCTTCTGGTAATTGACTGTAGTCCATCTATCTATTTATTGCCATGGGAATTTTAAAAATTGTTGGGGATTTTTTGTTGTTGTTGTTTTATCCATCAGCTGAAGAGATGAACCTGGAAAACGGAGGATTGAGGAGAGGGAGGAATTGATCAGTCATACAGCCTCAACCAATGGCATATCCTCAAGGCAACTTACAGGATTTGGAGAAATGCTGACAGAATTTTCCTAGGCAGAAGGAAACGGACTGGTAAGTCTGGCTGAACAGAGCCGGGGCTGGGGTTTTTGAGTTCTTGCAGTGCCTTGTTGGCTGGAGGGGAGAGCTTTGACAGCATGGAGATTCAAGCTCCAGGCACGTTACACCACTGGTGGAAAGGAGGAAAGATGTGTATTGACACTTCTTGCTGAGCCAAACCCCTCATTTCTGTCAGCAAGGCATTGTGAGAGCAAGAAGAGGAAAGTCATTAAATGTTTGTGACGTGGATGGGTTCGCTCCCATTGACACCCGAAACAGGGCAGGAGTAAAGGAAGGAAACACAAATATACTCAGGAGGGAAATAGCTGCCTCCCTTCTTTATTGTGGCCATGAGTATGGCCATCATTCTGTAGTGTCTGACACTGTCATCAGGTGTCTGGATGCTGCAGTGGAGGTGACAGTGACATTTCCCTTGCTCTCATAAAGTTGTCTTGGGGTGGCTGCCCTTTTAGGCTGCCCCCGGCAACGGGAACTTCACATTCCCAAGTAATTTGTCTTCACTCTTGTCCTGGGTTCAGCAGTAGCAGTCATTTTTTCCCCTTCTTAGTAGCTGGTACAGTGCTGTGTTTTTGACTTTCAGCCTGGGAACGGTGTTGATAACACTGATGCTTTTAGTTACTGCTCAAATGTCTGTCTGACATGTCTGACTGACACGTCTGTCAGTCTGGCCAAGGACTTTCTGAGCATCATGCTCTGCCAGGGAGGAGGGGAAGCTGGGAGGAAGCATAGACAGGACACCTTACCCAAGCTAGCCAAAGAGGTATTCCATACCACAGCACGTCATGCCCTGTATATAAACTGGGGGTAGTTACCCGGAAGGGCTAGTTCTCTGCGGGCTTGGACTAAGTATGGGTGCTCGGTTGGGTGGGGTGGGATGAGTTATCGGTCGGCGGGTGGTGAGGTGTTGTATTCTCTTCCCTTGCTATTTCCCTTATCATTATTATTATTGGTGGTAGCAGTAGTGATTTGTGTTATACCTTAGTTACTAAACTGTTCTTATCTCAACCCGTGGGAGTTGCATTCTTTTTGACTCTCCTCTCCATCCCTCTGGGAGTAGAGGGAGGGAAAGAAGGGGGGGAATGAGTGAACGAGCTGCCTGACTGGTTTTAAACCACGACAATTCTGAAACAGATGTTATCTGGAGGGATGAACACGTGCTTTGGTCCTTGTGCAGGTGATGACATAACCTGAAGGCCTTCACTGTGTTTTGATGAACGGTTATGTGTCTGCCAAGTGCTGTATTCCTACTTTCCCCCTGTAGGTTTGTTAGTTATGTTACCTATCATGGGTTTTTCCTACTTTTCCCAGCAATTACTGCATGCTGTATTAAACGCACAACTACAGTTTAATTGTAAAAAAAACCCTGTATTCTGCTTCTGAATTAAATTAGAGGCTTTTCTGTCAGGTTCATTTTACTAGTGTGGCTGCATCTCAAATCAGCCCACATAAGGAGGGTGAAGAGGAACCGAACAGCTACTCCATACTGCATATCTCACTGAATATATGCAGCGGGGGCATCTCGAAGGAATCTACTACCCCAGCATATTTCTTTCTCATGTACTTTCAGAAGTGTGGGGGACTGAAGAAAGTGGCCCCTCATATTCTCCCCGACTTCAATGACAGGGAAATTGGGCTGATTGCAAACATCCCTCAAAAGCTCACACCTTATGTAAAAGAGCTTATGTAAAACCAACCTTGTTCTGTGAACAAGGAAAACTTCTTCCATCAAGTTTCCAGAGGCTGATGAATTTGTGAGATGTGTAATGGGGAGGGGACAGGAAGGGAGGAAAACCAGCCTCCTGCATGGAGGCTGCACCAGGGAGGCATCACCATTGGGGGTACCACAGCTTCGACCCTTCTCCCTGCTCAACGCCTTTCTTCCCCAAAAGGCCTTGCAAGTTGGAGCGAGGTGATTCAAGTGCAAATGGGCCTTAGGTGCTGAATCAGAACAACTGGCCTCAGAGGGATCATTTGGCCTAAGGAAACCTTCCAATGAGACCAGTTTGGATGTAACTGTTTTCTCCTATCCCCATAGCATCACCAGGAGAAAAAGGTTATGGACTATGAGCTGTGGAAATTCATGCTTAATACCTTGTCTTCTTGGGGCAGGGAGCAGCTGCAGCAATAATGTGCCAAACACCTGTGTGGTACATGGCCAGCACAGACCCATAGCTGCAAAAATGCCCTATTTTCTTTGTGTGTGTTCTCTGAAACACCCCACAGCTGCAGCCAAAAATTATAGTCTGTGCGTTGTCTTCTGGCCCCAAAGAAGTACCTTCATACGCTTTCTACATGTTCATTGACTGTTGAAAACAAAATGATTTGCTCTTTATCCCTGTATGCTAGTTAGCTACAGATAGCTCTGTGTGTGTAACTGTGTTTGATTCCTCTCATCCTACCCCGTAGGTGATTTCTGCAATGACTATTAGTGTCTGGTATTTTGCTAAGAAAGGCCTAAGGAATTTATAGGTAAGGTAGTTATAGGAATAGTTTTCCATCCTTTATTTCTGGTACCGAATTAAGTGCATGTCAGAGTTCAACTTCTGTTCAAGTTCCAGGGTGCTTGCGTGATGATCCACATGGGAACATAATTCACTTCAAACTAGGCAGCCTGGGAATAATCTAATTTCTGACAGCCCAGCCTTAACATAGCCTGTAAAACCAGTCCCAGAAAGAGGATGTAGTAAAACATATGACAGAAGCAGAGACATCTTCACAGTGAAGTGACACTAAATTATGCTGATTTTAGTCAAACTTTCCTAATCTAAACCGACACAGCTTGGAAGTGGAAGACCTGGTCTTACACTCAGACAAATGGACTAATGAGGCCCTGGAGCCAATGGCATTTGGTCAGACTAAAACCCAATTTTATTTTATTTTTTTTTTTTCAAAAGATAAGCCTTTTCTGAAAAGTTCTGAGTTCCTCAGAAGTTCACAATTTGAGCAGCCTCACTGATTTCAAGTTTGCTAGAAAAACACAATCCTAGTACAAACAGACTAGAATCTCTGTCTTTTCTTCACAAAAACAGTATTTTCCATGTTTTCCTCAGCTTTAGCTCCCCTCCTTCCTTTGAACTGTACAAATAATACAGTCTTACGTACATTCACCACTATTATCAGCAGCAGAGTACTGTCAGAATATACAGTTAATATACTACTGCCAACTACTTGCCTTTGTTGTCATTAACAATCCTCATTTAATAAAAAGCTTTTATCAAAAATGCTTTTTCTGTAGTACTTTTATTTTTCCCAGAAAAGGCATTAAAATTAATTTGTTTTCACTTGGTCTGTATTGAGTGACTATAGAAGGAACAAAAAAGACAACACATGTAAGAGAAACTCCAAAGAGAAGGTAATGTAGAAAGAAGCAATTCTGTTCTAAAGTAGAATATACTTTTTGGTTTGGGTTGGGGGGTGGGGGAATGGTTCACTTTTGAAAGCAAAAGAATGATTGAAGTCTGGTGGAAAACATCACATTGTAACTATGCTTTTGGTGTAAAAGAAAGATGCTTCCCATCTCTGCAGCTCCCTGAGGCTTCTTTTCTGGGTGAGGCAGAAGGTAATGTTATGCAGAAAAATTTGACCTGATGGCTAGGGACCATTCATGGGATTTTCTGTGGGAAATGCATTGGAATCTGACGCTGTGCCCCTCATTAACCTTCCTAAAGAAGTGCTGCTGTTTCCCTTGCATGTTTTTCACTTGGAACAACAGTTTTGTTATTGATATCAGAAGAGAATTAAGACATTTAAACTGCCCCACTATATAAAAAGCCACAAAACCCAAACAGGAGATACCAATTCTGAATGATAAATGAAGTGAAAGAAGACACTAACTCTTCACTGTTTTGTTTTGTTGATGGTTGCTACCCTAAATGAGAAATTGTGCTGTTAGCTGCAAGGGGCCTATGGGGATTCTGCATGAGCCCACAACTAGGCTGGTTTGCTAATCTCACAGAGACGTGTTGGCACATACCTGTTATAAAATGGATCCAATCACTTCCTGGAGATCCTCACTCCCTAATGACAGCTGCCAAAACTGAAAGGTATGTTTTGAGTATGCTAGCTGTCTCCTGTGCAGTGTTTGTCAAAAGACATACTGAAAGGATACTGGAGATCACATGAACATGCAAAGAACAATGGGTGATGCTGAAGAGCTTCACTGCTGAAGTGCGGCAGTGCTGTGTGTCCTGCAATGACTTTTTCAGAATTTGCACCTCTTCCCTTTTCCCTTCCCAGGCCAAGGCTGATGGGGCAACTTTTGGCAAAAAAATTAAAAAGTGAAAGAATTTTCACTGAAATTTCAGGTTTTGAAATAAGAACATTTTTGGGCAAATACCAATTCAGTTAGCGAATGCTGCACAGGGAGCACCTCCTGGGCTCATTCAGATGGAACACATTGCCCATGCTTTTCCATGAGCCTCTGTTTCAGGGAAAAGAGATGACATGTTATGGGAATTTCATGGTCTAATGCATCATAGAGTATGAAATATGGCAGGGGATATCCACTCCTTCTATGAGAATAAGGACATGAAGCAACTGAAGTACAGCTCCTCTGAGACAGCATGATGGCATATCAGAATTGAAATATTTGGGTTTCAGCTAACTATTTTATCCATATCTTAACTATTTTGTCCATAAACTTTTTTTTTTCTGTAAAAAGCAGTTCTAATTAAAAAAATATATTAATGAACAGCTTTATGTAAAATGGAGGAACATTACGTGGCGTAGTTGCTGTTCTCTGGAATAGGCTGTGGAGGCAATCTGGAAGGCATCCTCCCTTATTAACAAGGAAAATGTTACTTCCATTAAAGAAAGAAACAGCCCTCCCCCCCTAAGCCATCCGTGAGAAACTTTCAGTGTATTTTCTGTTTGAAATTTAAATTTGAGTGTAATACCACCCACTGTACGAAACGAATGTGATTAAAATGATGGTTCCTTTCATTTTCAATTAAAATACACTTTAAATGTTTACCTTTCCGCACTAAATGCAAATGCAGGTGCATAATCCAGCACTGGGAAACCAGAAAGTGGAAACCCACTGACCTAGTTTCACCATCCCGGTGGACTAAAATGCGAAAAATAAACCAAACAAAAGATGGAAAAGCATCCCACCCCCCGCATTCCAAGCTCGCCAGAGCTCCACAGTAAAATTTGCTGTATTAAACTCACAAAATGGGGAACAGTGAGAATTAATATGTGCAGAAAATGGAAACGTGGTGGGATTTGCCCCATCCATGACCCCGGTTCCAACATTACTTTTGGGGGGGACCCCGTCCAGCAGGTGCAAGATGAGGGAAGGAAAGGGCCGCTCAGAGCTCTGGGCCTGAGGGAAATCTAGAGAGATTTGTGGAGAAGATGGAAGTGAATTCTGGAAAATTAAACACACGGATTCGCACTTAATTCTGGTTCGGTCCCCAAAAGCCACAAGCACTGACCAGCCTCCCGCTTCTGAGCCCGCACCGACGCACCCCCGCGGGGCCGGGGCTCCGGAGGACAAAAGCCAGCTCCTGCCTCCCTCCGATACCGCCTGGGCGGGCAGGCGCTAACACCAGGGGAACCGGCGGCGGGGCCGTAGGGAGCGGGCATGGGTCGTGACTGCGGTGCCCACGATCCCCGAGCCGAAGCCGACCGATCTCTGGAGGGCCTCCTTCGGCAAGACTTGAGACTGGGTAATGCTCGGTTTTGCACGGCCCCGCCGCCCCTTGCCGCACCCCCCGTGACGCCACCGGTCTCCAGGCAACGGCGCCCCCAGCGGTTCGGGCCGGGAGGAGAGCGGGTTTGTCGGGGGGCTCCCGGCGGGCCGGGGCGGCTATGGCGCTGCCGCTCCTGCCCGGGGTTTCCCGCGACCGGAACGTGAGTGATAGCGGAGGGGACGCCCCTTCTCCTTCCCCCTCCAGCTCTGGTGTCGGGGCTGCTGCGGTGGCGCCGCTGACGCTGGCTTTGGCGTCGGTTGGACCGCCCCACTCAGGCCAGGCGGGGGGCGACGTGGCCGCCACGCGGCGGGCGCTGGCAGCACTCCGCCTGCCTGAGGGGGGGCGAGGGCGGAACAGGGTGAGCTATGGTGGCTGTCGGTGGAGCCGGCCAGGGCGGGTGAGGGCTGGGGCAAGAGCCGGTGCCACGGCGAAGGCCTCCACCCACCCCCCGCCCTTACCGGGCAGATGGAAAGCGAGGTGCCGCTGAGGGTACAAACCGCCTCCAGTTTTACCCTGGGAGTGGGAATACTGAGCGGCTAGGCCGGGACTGAGGGGTCTGGCAGGTGCTATGGGGCGATCTGAACTCTTGAGTCTCTTAATAAAGCAAAATGGGAAGAGGCAGATGCGCTCTAAGTAAATCAAAAAGTCTTTGCAGAGCAGGGGGGAAACCCTAGGTATGCTAGTGTGGTTTTCCAGAGTTTCCAGTACTATTAAATACCAGCATGTGGCTATATGAATATATAAGACGGTATTTTTATCGTGAGCTACAGCAGTAAGCAAAAGAGAAGGCTGCCATTACTGCTTCAGACTTGTTTGTCAAGGATAGCTACAGATACGCTGAATACAATCTGTACTCTGAAATGGTGCAGGAGATAAGGAAGGATTTGGGCGTGGCCGCTGTAGGTGGCAGGAGGCAGATGAAACAAGGTGGACTTTCTTAATAATGTTACAATGTCTGGATGGTAATCAGTCTTTTTCACACTATGGCTGTTAGAGCCATGCTTCTGCATCCTCACTAGGGTTGCTTTGGTGTGCCCTAAGAGGGACTGTTCAGGGACAATCTGCAACTGGTTTATGAACACACATGTATTCATGCCAGTGATACTATAAGCATCAGTACCCCTTCAGTATGAGACTTCTCCAAGCTCTTAGCATATTTGGAGCCTACTTTATGGGCTATGAATCATTTTGCAGTAAGTGTGATCCAGCTCTCAACCCCCACCTTCCCCCAAGACAGGTAGGTGCAATTGTAGCTGGAACAGGCAGCATGAAATTGCACAGAAATATGTGGACTCCCCAGCCTTGCTTGGTGTGTCAGCATTGCAGGGGGACATGCAGACACTGGGCCTCTTGCAGGAGGAGCTCAGCTTACAAGTGAGGATCTTTCAGGCAACTTCATTGCAAATAGCTAGCAGCAGGCTGGGTACCACTGTTTTGGAAGAAAAAAAAAAAAAGGTGAATACTCAGTCTCTCTTGCTGCATTCAAATTTGTATTGTAAACGGTTGTGTGTATAACACTTGAGGTAGCTGAGTGGGCATATCAGCAACATTGAAATAGGTGTGTACTGTTGGTATCTGCAGGGTGGAAGCAGAATAACGCAGCTCAGTGTTAGCTGTGACTTTATTGTTCTCCAAATTTCAATTTAACTTAATGAATAGGGATTATTTGCTTTGGAGTGTGATGGAGTGAGCTGTCTTCAGAGCTCCACAGGAGCAGTGGTGAGGTTTTGTGATAGACGGGGTGCCTCCTTTCTCAGAGAAAAGGCACAGTGTTTTGCTTCACATGCTTGGGAAGAGTTACACAGAGAAAGCATTGAACACCCCATGCTGAAGTACATATAGTGTGTATATATGTTATGAGAACCAAAGGTGTGAAAACCAAGCCACAATTGTCAGAAGAAAGCATTGTGAGACCATGGTTATACCTTTACCAGGGCTCCACATCCCTCTTTTTGACAGTCCTTGAGATAGTGCAGTTTATACTGATAACTTGCCTTTCTAAAAAAGCCTTTGAATCGTCACTAAGTTGTTAGCTGTTAGATTTGATTTAATTTTATTTTAATATAGTTCCACAAATGAGAGGCTAAGAAGGGCATATTTAAAGGAAAACCAAAAAAGGGCAACTTCTATAGATAAATTGAAAAGGAAGAAAGTATTTACACCTGTTGTTACCCTAAGCATCACCATCAGTGCCTCTTACTGCACAGAAAGTACAGTAGCAAAGCGCCCCATGAAGAAGGACAAGTGGAGGATGGGAGGTTGCTGCTTCTGCCAGCGCTTGCTTTATAATTATGGGTATTAATTCCACTCTTACCATTGTTAAAGCTACTGCTGCAATCCTCTTTTCTCTGCCCCTAATGCTTCTGCCTGCCTCGTATATAGGATCATAGTGGAAGAGGAGCATATCTTTTTTTTTCTACCGTAGTTGTGTTTAATAAGGTGGCTTGGCTGTCTCCAGAAAAACAGAGCTTTAAGGTAGTCAGGGGCATGGAATCTAACTTAAGGCAGCAGGGACTGCACTGGCAAATTGGGAGTAAGGAATCTTTTCACGGTACTTAGGTCTCTGGCCCTTGTATTACCCCTTCGTCATGATTATTATTACTTCTAGCTCGCTGTACCAAGAACGCTTAATTCCTCTTTAGCCAGGAGCAGAAACGCTTGATCTCCGGCAGTGAACAAGGGCAGGGAGCCCCGGCAGCTCACAGCCGCCCCTGGTGCTGGCAATTGGGAAAGGCAGCAGCCGCTGGCTGACTTCTGCTGTTTTTCCTTCTCTTAACTGCAACCGACTGGTGACCGATTCAGCAACTTCTTGTTCCTCGGGAATCACAGCTTCTGAGACTGGAGGGGAATGAGCACTTTTAAAACAGACAGAGTGGTTCCTACGGTAACATAAGGAAATGTTTCCTTTGTGCTAAATTAAGAGCTGGGATGAAAGGAGCAGGCATAGCACACGCAGTGCCATGGTTGTTTGGTTTGATCGGCTGGAGAAGAATGATGGTTGTAGTAGAAGGTGTCAGGGGCATAAAATATTTACAAAGAGAGGAAAAGGAACCACCCCTATTTTTTTTCAAATCTCTTTAAAATCGAAGTGGCAGTAGTTTGTGTACACGTAAGTCCACCCATCAGATAAAACCTCTTCTCCTTTAAAATCCTTATTCCCTGAACAGAAGTCCAAAGATAAGCTGCTCATCAGCAGTGCCTGTCATGTTCACATGTGGGCAATCAGGAGACGTAGCACAGGCTGGGATTCTGAGCACAGATTAGCCCACCTCCTGCCCTTTTCAGGGGATGGCTAATGGGCAGAAGTTGTGTCTTTCCCCTTTGCCATGGCTGGGAAGGCCAGAGTCTGTGGTGGGAGTGCTGCTGCTCCTCAGCAAACCAGCACTCCTCTGTCCTGACAGCTTTAGAGAAGGGCCCTTGTCTGCCCAGCAATGGCAGGATGTGGTACTCACACATTATTTACCATCCTGTTGCATTAAAGAGTTTATTAATTTCTTTATTTTTACAAACAGTAATTTGCGATTTACTCGTTTGAAAATTTCACTACCTGTTGTATACCCTTGAAAAAGGTCATTCTTCAATTGTTTTCTCTTGTTCCTGACACTGAAGCCAATATTTAAAGGCCACGGGGAGATGTAGGTACTTCTGACTGCAGAGCCCAACTGATACAGAAATTGTGCAATAATGAGATTTTCAGCTTTATCCATACGTTATATGTGTGTCATCTGTCAGGGCAGAAAAGCACGGATCTTGATAACCATGTTTAATCCTGTGTGTGGAAGAAATGTAGCATATAACAGGTTTGCTGTGTTACCATGAGAAAAAGTTTGTGCATTTGGAGTTTGAACTGCGTTAAGGCTGACACTGGTGACAATGCAGCAACATTTTGTTAGCAACATTACTTTGTTAGTGGTCTACCACCTGTTCTGAAAGGCAGCTGCCCCTTCCGATACCAAATTGATGTTGCCTTACATCAGCAGCTGAGGGAGAGGACCACGTACTCGCTTGGGTGAGATATACCAAGTGCTTGCTGACCAGTGTATTTTCTTGCCAAAGGTTAGAAATCCCTCTCAAAGAGATAATTCAATGCAACAATTTTGCATGATATTTCTCAGAGAATTGGACAATGCCTGTATAGATCTCAGGAGGAAAAGTACATCCTTGAAAATATCAGTTTCTGTTGCAGAGTTTAGTGGCACAGCAGAAATTCCACATCTTCTTATTACAGGAGCTTGGAATTGCCCTCCACTGTGCTACTACTGTTGTCTCTGTTTCCTGGCTTGAGTATTTTCTGCTGCTCTGTGATCACTGGCACCAAAATAAGACATCAGTTTTTCTTGAAGTGCTTGCCACACTCTTTATAAGTAAGCGTGCCTGCTGTGCCTTCCCTTCTTCATTCTCTGGCCTTCTTTCCTGAACTACTTCCACTGCCTCCTGCACCTCAGCCTCATTCCCCCAGATTTCTGTGTGTTCACAACTGATGAGCCTAAATCTTCCTGTAGCTGCCTGTTGGGGTTGCATTTTGGACCCTTTTCTTTCTGTCCATCTGTTGCCTTCTCTCAGGCTGTACCAGCTCAGGCAGCAAGAGTGGGCTAATAGAATCATAGAGTAGTTTAGGTTGGAAGAGATCTTTTAAGATCATCTAGTCTACCCTGCCTGTAATGAGCAGGGACATCTTCAACTAGTTCAGGTTGCTCAAAGACCCTTCAACCTGAACTTGAATGTTTCCAGGATTGGGGCATCCACTGCCAGTCTGGTCACCCTGTTCCAGTGTTTCTCTTTGTAAACAATTTCTTTCTTGTATCTAGTCTGAATCTATCCTCTCTTAGTTTAAAATCATTACCTCTTGACCTATTGCTACAGACCCTACTAAAAGGTTTGTCCCCATCTTTCTTATAAGCCCTCTTTAAGTATTGAAAAACCACAGTAAGGTCTCCCCTGAGCCTTCTCTTCTCCAGGCTGAGCAGCCCCAGCTCTCTCAACCTGTCTTCATAGGAGATGTATTCCAGCCCTCTGATCATTTTTGTGGCCTTACTCTGGACCTGCTCCAACAGGTCCGTATCTTTCTTGTACTGATTCAGGATCTTAGTGTTGGTGCACCTTGTTCTGGGGTCTATTCGAGGGGCACCAGCATTCCTAGGAACAGTGTCTTAAGGCATACCCCCTTTTAAAGTACTACTTAACCTCTGAGCATACTGAAACTTCTGCAGCAAGCTGGGGATGATGTAAGAGTTGAAAATCCATCGTGTGAATGTGGCTGGCACAGCATGCAGCGTTTGCATTTATGTCCATTGCTTAACCAAAGCAACCCGGAACTGTATCAGCAGCCTATAGTAGTTCAGAAATGCCACAGTTCATCCTGATACAGGATTTGAGCCAGACCTCCACAGTTCAGCTGCTGTTCTCGAGACGGGAATTCAAAGTGGATACAGGGAAGAAAACTGGACTGCTGCAAGCGGTTTCTGCCATAACTCCCTGTGGAACTTAGTTAAAACCACATAGCTCCTGAGACAGTGTGTGCACAGGGCTCCCGCATCACTCCAGGCACTGTGGTGAAAGATTTCCAGTTGTGTTTGGTTCAGCTGAGACGTGCAGCTCCCTGATGAGTTTCCAGTGTTTTAAAGAGCAAGATGGAGAGAGCATGAGGTGGTGTTCCCCAAGGACTGCAGTGGCTGTGTTTGCAAAGCTAATGGCTGCAGAGAATCCTGACCTTTGCATTAGTCACTATTGAATGTATCCTCAATATTTATTTCAGGCTCACCACACAGAAAGTAGGCAGCTTTGTTCAGCAGATCTGAACAGGCCAGCCTGTTCAGTTCAGCTGCATTAGCACAGCTGACACATTGAAGCTCTCACAGATTTCTTTTAGAAGTCATTTAATATTACTGTGGAGGTAATGTGATGTTCTGTCACTATTTTAGGTTGGATGTGGTCTGAGTGCATTAGTTGAAGTTTCCCAAGTGTCATTTTTCTCTTTTGTGATCTTCAGTTATAATTACTTTTTCCCGAACGTTTTTTTTTTTTTTAAGAAATAAATGTACAGACTTTTAGAACTAAGAGATTATTCTGCATACGGATATAGGTGCTTTTTATGGAGAAGGGGTTTATAAGTAATTCTGTGGTAAGAAGTCTAAAATAGTTTTTCTGTTGAACCTTAAGAAGTTACGAGAATGCCACGGAAGATTCTCAATGGAATTGCAGCTGTTGGGCCGTGTATTTTACATATCAAATTGTAACGGTGTTGCAATTTCATCCCTAAATTCTGGAAGATTTCCAGCAGGAGCAAACCTGGATTACTTTGATGAACACTTCAGCACACTGAAGGTTACCAAAACCCAGAAACAGATGAACAGCAAATGATTCTAGAAGAATCATTTGAGGACATGAAAAGCTTTCCCTTGCTCAGGAAAACTGCCACTCACTGTGCTTTGGTAACTACGCCTTTCCCCCAACTCATGCTTTGCCAATGGGGGAAAATAATTAAATACTTGCTGTGCCAGAAAGTGGATCTGTTCTATAGCACCTTCAATCTAAATTAGAAATTTCTGCCTAGAAATGTCCCTTTAAAAACTCAGCTTCACTATAGTTATTCCACATTTGAACAGATAAATGCAGAAAGCTCCCTTCTATTCTGACTTCTCTGTATCAGCTTACCAAGGAACAAAATTGTTAAAAGAAGAAATAGAAGAAAGGGCAGCTCAGTAGTGCCCAAAGGAGATGAAGAAAAAACATCTTAAGTGCATATAAGTTACAAAGTGGGTGCCAGACCCCATCAGTGCCTGTCTGTTCCAAAGCCCCATACTGGGAGAGCGCCTGTGCTCACTTCTTGAGGGAGGGGTGGGGTGACCACAAGAAGATCCCCTCCTAATGCCTAAATGTCAGTGCTCACACTGCCCATGGAGGCATGACATTTTATATAACAGCTCAAGACAATGTGCTGATAATGCCGTATTTTATTTTGGGCAGTATTCCTGCAAATGTGCAGCTCTTTAATCTTGTTAAATTCTTGGCTTGAGCAATGCTGTGTGACAGGGGGGCTTGGGGGCTGGCTAGCTGTTACAGAAGTGTTTCCTTTTATTGATTTTCTCTTTTATTCTGTAACCCTTGTTCTTGAGTTCTAAACATATGGTTCAGGAATACTTCCTGTTTTCCTTTCTATTATTCTTTGAACTATGATAAATTTGCCATGTTCCCTTTTATTCATCTTTATTCAAAACATTTCTTACCTTTTAAATATCTTCTCTGGAGAAGCGCTTCCAAACTCCTTCCAGTCACTGTCCCCAGTATGCAAACCTTACCTTGTTTTGCAAAGGTTTCAAAGGGTGCTGGCTGACCCAGCTTTTGTTAACCTAAGCGAGGTAGGGCCATTGATTCTTGTGGTATTAAAAAGAATAATATGTAAAAATAGTAAATAATTATTTTTCATACTACTATCCCTGCAAAAGTGGAATGAAAAAGCATTTTAAGCAAAGGTAAAGCTAAAGTGGTCATTCACTTGATCACACTCTGTCCTGTGTCACTGGATTTAGAGAAGTGAGCCAGGCAGGTGAACGGTTCCGGCTGTAACCTTCAGTGTGCAGTAGTTTGTATATAGGAGCATTGGATGTTATGAGCCATGAGGTTTGTTATCTGCCTTTCAAATTCCTTACTCTCATATTGGCAGAATGAAGTAGCTACTTGGTTACTTTCAGGTTTTACTGCTTCACTGCTTACACTTGTTCCCAGAAAAGCTGTGATGAGCATGTGTTATTTTGGAGCATTTCCACATTACCATAATGAAAAATCATTATTTGTACCATTTTTATATTTATTAAAGTTGCCTACACCTTTCTGGGGAGTAGTGGTTTAAATATATCCATGTAATAATTAGTGATGCCCAGTCTTTTAAATACAAAAGGGCAAACAATTTTGGCACTCTGCTACATTACCAACATAACCTGCTCCAGTGCTGCTATGAAAAAATTTATTGACCAGCCTTTTCCTCTACACAGAGTGTGTTCTGTACTCTGCCATAACATTAGTTCCTTCCCCTTAGGTTTATCTTCCCTCATGTTCACCCAGTCCCAGGCTGAGGAAGGGCACAGGTGTGGTAGTCTCCATCTTCCCTTACTTTTTGTGCTGGGGGTACAGTTACCCAGTGGCCTTTTTCTGCTTTCCTAGACCAAGTGTTTCAAGGATTTGTGAGGGTGAAGAAGGGAGGAATAGTAGAGGGAGAGGAGCTAATGAGTCAGGATTGCTGCTCATGGCAAGAGCAGTTAGTGGAGCTTTCTGTTGGCTTTTCCTATTCCCCTCTCCTCTCGTGTGAGGCTGATGTGTGGGGCTGTTAAGGGATTGCCGCCCAATCATAGCTCACAATGACTGCCACCATTCGGGAGAACTGGCCAGCAAATCAGACAGCTCATTAAGAAGGACATGCCCACAGGCAGGACTTCTATTCATGTCAGGCCAAAGGCTTTTCTGCATCGCTTTAAGACTGGCTCCAGTTCCAGCCAAGAAATGCAAGTAGGCAAGATGGGTTTCTTTGCAGTTGATTGTGCACATTTTTTTAAGCGCTCCATCCTTAATTGCCTAGAAAAATAGTAATAATATAAAGAAATCACTACAGAGATCTATTGGAGCAAACTCAGATGGAATGAATATTCTGTCTTTTGATTTAGATCCAACCTTCCAAAATCCAAGTATATTCACTAGTACAGAGCTGTTTATTCTGCACTTGGGGATACAAGTGTAAATAAGGTCTTTGACGTTAGTAATGAGAGCAGGCTGTTCTCTGGGTACTCCTGAACTGTTTCCATTTGTCTTCTGGAGATCTGTAGAAAAGGTTTTTCCCCTCTACCTTTTGCAGCAGTTCTCATGGGTGACTTGCTCCTTTCTATCTTATGCTTCAATCCTTGTTGCAGGGGCTGGGGGGGATGGGGGGGGGGGGGGGGCAGGGGGGAACCACTTGATATCATCCTGTCTCTGAGCCTGGGTAAATTGCTGGAATATTTTTCAATTTTCATCTGTAATGCTGGCAATTTGGCCACTGAAATATATAATTTAACTTGCAGCATTCCAGTTGTTACAGGTTTTTAGACTCTGTATTAAAAGTAATTATAGAGAAACTTTTATGTGATTAATCCTCCTTGCTTAGATAGTTAAATCTCATGGATTTGAAAACAAACACACATATATTTTTTTTTCCTCTTTTTCTTCCAAATTTATTGCAGATAGGGAAAGAAAAGTTCCACAAGTCACAGCACTGGGGTTTCTGCAATAATGTTGCTATGCTGGTTAATGAAAATAAACCTGGAGTTGGAGGTAAACCACTACCTGGTCAGAAGCTGACACCTAAATACAGTGTGTTTCCTGAAGGGATGGGAAGTGATGCTCCTGCTTGGGTAGCATTTGACAAGCAGGTACATAGAAATCTGTTTCTGTATGTTTTTTATGAATAGCTACAATATGACAAAGATGGTATAAAGGTGAATTTCAGTGAGATATTTCAGAAGGTTATTTTGTGCATGCGAAGAAAATTCCTACACAGAGTGGTAGCATCTATTTTTCCATCATATTGGTATATTTGACAATTAATATAAATATGTATTATGCTGTACAGCAACACAGAAAAATATTTCTGTATATGCAGGATATAATAAAAATAAGGGAGTGGTTGATGTATTTAATTTTAGAGAAGATCATGACATTGAAGGTAATTATTTGGAAGCCTGCTAAGAATGTAAGGTAAGTCCCAGTCCAGGAGAAAATGGGCACTTGAGAACCATGGGCCTCCATGGAGTGCTGTAGACTTGGAATTCCCATATGCCATCATATTTACTTGATCAAAGTCCTGCTGCCTTTGGTGTGATCTCTTCATGTGCAGGTATGTTGGTTATGTCCATTATAGACATAGGAATTTAAAATTAATATTTGTATTTTGCAAGACTGTAGTGACACCTTTAAAGATGGAGAGTTAGGAAATAACTGTAATCTATGATGATACAAATTTTGTAGCACACTGTCATTACTTTCCATGTTTAAATTTACATTAAATTCTAGTTAGTGATCTTTTATTTCTAAAGCAAAAAGCCTACAATCAGAGGCGGAAAATGATCCAGAAAAAGAAATCATTCAGCAGATCACTGAAATGTTGCATGACTAAATGATTATGGTATTTAAATATTGGGAAGAATGGCTAATCGCATAATTTTTCCTTTAGAAGAAAAGCTATGCAGGTAATTGCAGTACAATTACACATTAATTTCTTTGGCAGACCAGAACTACTACAAGAAAATGTAAAGCTTGAACAGATACACATGACTTCAGTTAGCATTGCCTCTGAAACCCCTACTATTGCTCACATAGTTTTCAGCAATGTGCTCAAGTACAAATTGGTCTAATGTTCCAAAGTGTTAAGGCTTTAGCCAGTCCTGCATGAGCTTTATCTACACCCTTCTTTCAATGAGCAGTGTGCATTTGCTTCTTGGAGCTATATTTAAATTAACATGACTTGGACCCAGCTATATGAAATAAAGGGCTTAGGTAGGAGGCAGTGGGGACCTGAGCTTCGCTGGTGAAATGAGGTAGCTGGCCTTTTGATGTTCCTCCACAGGGCAATACAGGACAGGAGTTTGCAGGTATGAAATTGGCCTCTAGAAGGCTTATGTGTTTGTATCAATTGCAGACTGTTAAAGGGTACTACCCAATTAATTTGGCTTCCCCAGTTATGAGTTTAGAGTGCAGCTGTGTCCTTCAGTGCTGCAGTTTATTACTCAGCAGAATGGACTGCATGAAATACGGTCTGAGTAGTCTGAGTTGGTGTTTATCTTTTTAAATGTAGTCTGCTTTCTTACCATTTTAATTTGGTTTCCAACTTTCAGCAGTAGCATAGTAACTGGAGGAAGGACAGGCTTAAAACTTTATTATTAAGTAGTTTGAGAAATAGTTTTTGCAATTTCATACGCTTAATAGGAAGCAAGTGTAAATTTAATGTCTTCCACAATTAAGTACACACACAAGGCCTCCTAGGCTTGAAATTAAGTTTATAATTTGATTATCACAGGTGCTAAGGAAACCTTGTGCCAACTTCACAAAATGGCACAGAGTTTATTCAATATTTGTTACTTTTGGACTTCATAAGTAACATTTATTTTTTTTAAATAGTAGGATGGGAACTTTGTACAGAGCAATGTACTACAGATGAGACATGAGCTAGGAAGTGTTACATTTCAAGTATTTTTAAAAATTAAATTTGCTTTTAAATCAAAAGCAAGCCATCTTCTTTTCTGTTCCTTCCCCTTTTCACCCTTCCTGGATCATCTGTTTTGATCTGCAAAATTGTAGTTGGACAATACAGTTTGTGTTGGCTCTGTTGTATGTTGGATGTTTTATCTGACTGTTTTTGTGCTTGTTACTGTGAAATCCACAGTTAAAAGTTACATGTGGCCAGAACAATTTTTTATTTATTTTTGACTATTTCATCTGTAGGCTGTTCAGACACTTGCATGTTGTACTACTTAAACAACCATCAAGCATAGTGTGTAGATCCTTTTGTAAAGATCTAATGCCATCAGGTTGAACAGTTAACAGTTATGTCATTTGATTGTAACTTAATTTCTCTAATGGTGGCAGGTCATAGTGCAGGAGAGTTGATGCCCAAAATGTGTCTGTCATATTGTTTGGTGCATGCTGAAAATCTTACCCTTTGTAATAGTTTGTGGAAAGAGAGTTTTCTTCAGCCTGCCTGAGAAAAAGGAGAGTGGCCTATTGAGAAGCCTGACTAGGGCACAGGGTGGCTGTTTTGTGTGCTCCTGAGCAAACCACTATCTCTCTCTCCCCAGATGTAGAAAAAGAGGTTGTGTTTGTCTGTTAGGATGTTTTAAAATCTGTGTCATTAGTATTCGTGGAAGTACTTTGAGGTTCTCGAAGGCATGTGCTAAAGGAATACAGACTCTTAACTGGCCTGTTCTGTCATATAGGGATGTTGGCCAGCTTCCTAGACTTCAAATATTTTTTTCAAACCAGGATCTGCCAGGTGCTTGTTGAAACATAGAGAAAAGCTAAGTTCTTTTTGATGCTTCAGTTTGTCTAATGAATCAGGAATAAGGGTAATTGAATTTATTAGATAGAATAATCATGAAAAATGAAGTATGAATTAGCACAGATTTGACCCAAATGCACTGGGGGGGGGGGGGGGGGGGGGGGGAGGGGGCAGGATGAAAACCTGTTTTAGTTAATGTCTTCCTGCACATACTTACTACAGCAAGCTTCCTATTAGATAATGCACTACTAAGTAGGTACTTCTTAGACATTCCCTTAAAATTGGCCTTGGTGGTTAAAGACCATAAATAATACCAAGAAGTGCAAAATATGTGGTGGTTTGCTGAATTTGATCGGGGATCTCCAGACATAAGGCCACTGTGGTAAAGCACCGAGCACCTCACCTCTGAAGGGATTTTTTTCCTTGCATTATTGCTATTGCAAGAGATCATAAAGGCCAGTTGGCATACCCTCTGTCTGAGATTTCCCCACTCACTGAATTGCAGAACCAGGCAAGTTTCAAAATGCCAGTGTTGCAGAGCTCTAAATGACTCTTGAAAAAAACACCATTTCTCCCTGATAGTCTTCAGTAGCTTTCATTAGACAGCTTGCAGGATCTGCTTGAAAAGAATGCTCCTTTCCACTTACCTCAATGGTGAAGCCATTACTGTCATAATACACTTTATTTTCAGCAGTTCATTGAATAGCAGTCTAAAATTTGCTTCAGGACCTAGGTAGCTCATTGTGTTATTATATTTGATTTATTTCTTTACTTTAGACTTCCATCTCTGCTTAGATGTTGTGATAATAAAAATGTCAAGCAAAGAATTTAAAATTTATGGGATTTAATGTGGATTTCTGTTCTTACATTTCTGAGAAACAAATCCACCTTCTGAAATCCATACATTTAATTACTTGTAATCTATACAAGTTTATTTTATTGACATATTTTGCAAAAGCATTGGAGATTTTCCTGCTTTATACTTATTTATTGTTCTTAATAGGTATTGTCTTTTGATGCCTATTTTGACGAAGAAGTACCTGACAAAAATCAAGAACTATATAGAATCAGACACTGCAAAATATACTTCTACCTTGAAGATGATACAATTCAGGTGATTGAACCCCGAGTGAAAAATAGTGGCATACCTCAAGGTATCTATTTTTAATAGCACTTGGTTACTTTTCCTTTATATCTTTCTTCAGTACAGTCTTGGTCCATTCCAAAGTATACAAAATGTGACTTCTTATAGTCAAAATGGGATGTAAGTGAACAGTTACAATTGTCTTTTCTTGCTAGAGATTATAATGTGGATTTTTTTGTTGTCTTAGTTTCTGAAGATGTAGGTTTTGAAAGGTGGAATCCCCTCCCATATTCGAACATACACTTTTTTTCTCTGATAGTTTCTGGAAGGCATAGGATGGTATGTCTTTTGTCAGTGTTGTGTCACTTCTGGAAAAGAAATTTGAGTTCTTGGTCTCTATTCCGGAGCCTAGCTCCTCCTGTCTTGGCACTGACAGTAAGTTCTCTAGCAGCAGCTCTGTATTCTCTAGCAGCAGCTCTGTAATTGTTCATTATCTACTGCAGTATCTCTGCTGTTATTGAAGTAGTGTGCCTTTTGTGCCTTTGTCTGTTTTTTTTTTATGATTAATGTGCCCTTGGCACAATAATTTTTCCTTGACGCCTCTAAATTAAGAAGCTACTGTGCCTCAACACCACATCACTGTGCTTGGGCAAGACTGAGGACTTGTGGAGGCAAGTTTACTGAGCTGATTTACTGGAGTACTAATGGACTTGGTTTACATTAAAAAAATGTGACCTAACGGTCAACATCCTGTTGCAAAAGGGGAACACAGCTGCTTCTTCTTGGTGTTTATGGGTCACTGCCAGAACTAAAAAGTTTTCAAGGGATGTAGTCCAGATAAGCAGGATGTCTTGGGATGAGTATCTTGGGATGACTGCGCCTCCCAATCCCCAAAGATATTTTTTAGCACAGTAATTTTAAAAAATAAGTTAACCATGTAACTACCATATTCTTTTCCAAGATGAGCAGATGCTGTCAATTTCTCTGTCTACAGAGCAGGATAATATTTAAAGGTGTTACGTGCATCATTACTGTTAGACCTGGGATAAAATTACCTGTGAATCTTTTCTTAAACCAGTACTTCAGGTCCCGCTCTCCCTGTGTTGTGTAGTTCTTCTTGTCAGAAATCTTGTTGGCTCTCTGGCAGGAGCTGGTTTTGAATTCGGAGAAACCTTGTCCTACTCTTATTTGGGCAAGTGCTTTTTCAAGACCTGAAGAAAATCATGTTGGATCTCTTCTGGGAATTTACAATTTAGTTACCCCCTACCTGCACTCATATATATGAGGCAGGAGACATCACTGGGTTTGGATTTTCTTTGTCTTATGTGTCACAGAAGTGGGAGAGTCTGTTTCTGGATTTTGAACCTTAGATCAAATGGCCACCAACAAAGAAGTACAGTTAGCCTGAGAGGCAGAGGCAATGTCGTTGAGAGAGAAGATGGAAACCAGGTTCATCAGAGCAGGATAAAGCTGATGCCTTCAAATCTAGCTGTAGGAATGGGTCATTTTCACTGTCTTTGTAGTAGGGGTTGTGCAGGCTGTCCCTTCAGGCCTGATGTTCCTGGGGTGACAGGAAGACTACAGTTTCCCCCTATTTCCTTGGTTGCATCTTGTGTTAACAGTCATTAGAGTCACTTTGGTACTGGATCTAAAATTAACTGAATTATATTAGACAGAAACAAGAATTCTTTCAGACTTCCATGCAAGGATGTTTTGAAGGCCTCTATGACTTTGTATGAGTACTTTATATGGGATACATATGTATGCACAAGGTATTAAGCTGACGGATTAAGAAGAAATGTTCCAGGATCTCAAAAGTGCCCTAAATTTATTTGTTGCTGATACCTGGGCTGGTAAGAAAGCTCTCTATATTGGTTGTGTTTAGGAAGGAAGTGATTCTGTAGACTGAAAGGCCCCAGGACTGTTTGAGATGATGATGAGGCTTCACAGTTGATGTGAAGATCTACATAAATTTTCTTATTATCATAGAGATTAATATGATGTAGATGAAAAAAATGTGGTGGAGATGCCTGTTAGATAATTCTTTATTCAAGTGCACTTGGGTATTGACTTCATACTCCACAATTGAAGAACAACCACAAAGTTGTTATATTAAAGGCACTAAATATTGTTGGTGAATAGATGCAAAAGCTGTATTTCTTAAAAGGAAATACTAAACCATTAACTGCTAGTCTTACTCCATTTTCAATCAAAAATTTTCCCATTGCCTCTTTTATTATAGTTACACATACCTCTTACATTATTAAATTTCCTTGCCCTGACTGAGAATTTGTAAGCCTGAGGACAATAGAAGTATAAGTCTGCACTGTGAAACTGGAAGCACAAAGGAATGAAAATCTTGCCCATGATCATACAGAAAAGGTCTAACAGGACGAGGAACTGAAGCTCAGTATCTTAACTACAGTGCTGTCTTCAGCACATCTGCTGAATGTTTCAGTAAATGAAAATGACACGGGTCTGTGGAAGAGAGTTGCAGTGTAGGGGAGCTTCAGTAGTTGAAAGGCAAACTGCACTGAACAGGAGAGCACATGTGTAGGGATGTGGGTGAAGAGAGAAGTGTGGTAACATCAGGAGCAGGGCAGGCTCATTTCTATGTGAACAGTTGGAGAGTTGCAGTGGCAGGAAAGGAGTTGTGTACAGGAGGAATAGCAACAAACAGTGATGGAAAAAGTGGAATTGAACTGGTGAAGACAGAAGATGGTGACAGCCTTAACTTGGATGTTTATCCTGGTGGAAAAGATGTAAAAGAGACAGCTGAAACAGCTGTTCTCAGGGGTCTTCTTGAAGAATAGGTATAGAAGTGGTGGGGTAGATCAAAGGTAGGTAGGTGGTTTGATAGATCAAACGTAGATCTTGTGAAGTTGGCTGGTTAATGCCTTGAGGACATGGGTTTACCAGTGCTTGTGCCATAACCCACAAATGAGAGCTTGATGATCTGAGTGGGTGTCCATGGACATGGTGGGATCAGAGAAATGTAGAAGTTTCCCACTGTATTTGCCATTGTGGGTAGTACTTGTGGCTTTGCAGAAAATAACTTGGAGAGGCTTAAGGATTGCAGGAAGATTTGGTGAAGGAGCAGCTGTCAAGAAAGAATTTCTAACTTTGATTATAACTTTACAAAAAAAAACAAATTGGCTTTGGGAAAAAAAAAAAAAAAAAGTTAGAAATGTGCTTTTACCGTTGCTGAAATCTCAGAGTGACAAAGTAAATGATCTGTGGGAAATGTATTTTGGTGACTTTTAAAGTTGCTTTATGGAATTGGCTGCTGTAGTTGGACATGGATTTGGACAGATAAGGTACTACTAAATAACTGAAATTTAAACTTCATTTAATTTTGGAAACTGCCTTGCTATAGTTTGAACTTTGGAAAATATTAGAAGCATTAGAAGAAATCTATACAAACAGAGAAATTCAGTGCAAAACACAGAGGAATGCAGAGGCCAGTGTGAACTTGAGAAACCAGAATCAAAGCAAAAAATACCAGGACAGTCAGAGTGCACAAGAGCTAACTAAAGATAAGGGAGTACAGAGTGAGGAGAACAGTAAACTCAACCATATAACAAAGTCCACAATGTTCTTCCAGAGCCAGAATGCTAATTACTCTTCCCATATAAAAAGAAATATTCCCATAGAGAGTCAGACTAGAGATGGCAGTGCAAGTGTTTTGTAGATCTAGTTCCCAGTTAACAGGACTGTGGCTGGCTGATACTGTCTTATCAAAAGGTCATTTATATCCCATGGGGTCGAGTGTAGCTTCCAGTGCAATCCAGGCCCTGCAAGCCAGACCAGAGTGGAGCAGCTGGCTGGTTTCCCCAAGGTCAGCCAGCTGAAAAAGAGAGGAGCTGCCTGCTGGCTGGATTCCCAAGGCTGGCTGGCTGGAGAGGAAAGTACAAGCAGGAAAGTGAAGTTGCAGTCAGTTCCTCCAATATAACCATTATCTTAAGAGTTTAAGACTTCCCCTGAGGCCTTGAAATAATTGTGCTTTTGCCATACTTGATGGTGGCCAAATCATGACCTTGCTATGTTCTCAGATGGGTGAATAAGTGAATGTATGAAGCTCCCTTGTTTATTGTGTTGCAGGGATAATAGTGGTTGCTTCTCCTCCTTTCTGTGCAAGCAAAGAGTGTACGAACTCCAGGTGTTATCGATTCCTCTCCTCTCTCTAAATGCACTCTTGAGTAGCACAGAGGTAGTCAGAAACCTGTGCTGAAGAAGAGACTAAATCATTTGCTTCCCAGTTTTGTGAGCTGCCCCATAGTCAAAAGGCCTATGAAGGCCTCCTTAAACTGATGTTGTAGTTGCCAAATAATCAGAAGCCTTAAAGGAGGAGAAGATATGCTACGAATTACAGTGTGGCAACTCGATGCCACCACAATTATCAGGGAAAAACAGTACCCAAATTCCCTTTACAAGAGAGCAGTATAGGAGAGCTTTAGCCTGGGCAGCTGCAAATATTTAAAATAATGCTTGGTGGTGCTAAATAAACTGACAAAAGAAATATCAAAAGTAGCCATCCGTCTTCAGCAACTCGAGTGTTGCACGTGCCTAGATCCTCCTTTAACAACTTACAGGAAATTTCTAGAAGTAGAAATGTAATTGTTCTCCAGAAGGAAAGACAATTTTAAAAATGCCAAGACCTATCAGCTTTTATTGAATTTCAGATTCAACAATATAAAATGTATCCTCTACGTAGATAGATCAGGCGCAGTGATATCTAATAAAAGCAAAAGATTGCTACAGATATTATCTTTTCAAGACTTTCAAGGAAAGAAATTTTTGTCCCTCAGAACAAAATGGGCATGTGTATTATACTTTGACAAGTGATATGAAAAACTGGCTGAAGGCTTATTCACCAGTTCTGGGGTGAATATACCCTCAGAAGATAGCTCATATTAGAAAATTGTCGACCATTATGTTTTCACTAAAATTATGACTCAACAGGATTTGCATTCATGTGGGGACTGTTCTGATTTACCACATTATCCGTTGATTTTTGTAGGAGTGACCCAACGATTAGCCAAAATCAGGTAATATATTTTAAAGGATGTGGGTTTGCTAATGGGAATACAATGCAGTTTTGCATTGTGTAAAAATGTGCTAATTACCATGTTTTCTAACTATTTTTTCCATGAGAATGCATCTTAAATATAGGTGTAACTAGGTTTAAACAGGTAGAGGTTCAAATTTATCTTACAATCAAAGGTCACTAACCAGGATATCAGATTTGGTACATGTGAAACATCAGGATGCTGAATGCATCTTCAAATAATTATTTTAATGGGAACTTAAAGTAAATCTGCTTTGCTGCTTTATTCCCCTGAAAAATTAAGGGTATGTTTTTATTGTAGGAGTTAGAATTTAACAAACAACTCTGATAATGTGGTAGTGGAAGGTATTTAGATTAGTATTAAGATTAGTCCTTAGGGAAATAAAATGAACAATAATAAATTTCCATGGACTAATTTAGGAATAAGGCCTTTCAAACACCAAACAACGCCACACAACAATATCTTTCTCCCTCCTCCTCTGCCTCTGTTCCCTCTCTTTCCAGGGGGACTCTTTCCAGGTCCTTCTCCACCCCCACCTACCTCCAAAGCAAAATAGCAGTGCTGGAAAACCATCAGACAGAACTCAGTGGGAAATACTACCAGATGCATAGCTGAAGGGCACTGGATAGAGATCCAGTTCTGTAGTGAGAGATAATGAGATAGACCTTTTAGATAATTGTGTCTAATAAATTATTGTTGTAGGATTAGGTTAGTACTGGAACTATTTTTAGTGTTAGAACTTTTGTGTGTTTATTGTAGTTGCCTTAAAGTTGTACCTTTTATAATTACTGAAATTTTAAAGTTGTTGGGAACCTACGGTGGCAAGGAATTATTATAATAATATAGGTTGGTGGTTCCTGCTGGTCTTAGCCAGTGGTTATCTGCATTATAAAGCTTGTGTTACAGAGGTGTCAGGATTGGTAAGTGCCACAAAGTCTGATGTTGAAGGCTGGACCATCTTTTTATTCCCTGCAGGGTATTTTCACACAACTGTATCAAGGTATTGATTTGGCAAAACTTTCAGTGTTGTCCTTTTTGTTCTCTCATAATGCAAAAAGAGGAGTTCAGTCCCAGCTGTGCTGATCTGCTGTTCTTTGTGAACTCTAACTTCACTTGGAATAAATCATAGCTTGTCATGCATCTGCATACCTTTCTTTAATGTATGAATTAGGTATTTGTTTAACCTACAGAGGCTTTAGCTTAATAAGCTGTTTCTAAAATACTTGTAGTATCACAAAATTGTTGAGGGTGGAAGGGCTGTCATAAGATCTTCTAGTCCAACCCCTCTGCTCCAAGCAGGATCAGCTAGAGCCAGATGGACAGGGCCATGTCCAGTTGGGTTTTAAGTAACTCCAGGAATGGAGACTTTCACAACCTTTCTGGGCAGCCTGTTCCAGCATTTGATCACCGTCACAGTAAAAGTGTTTTCTTGTGCTCCTTGAAATTGTGTATCTTTTCACTTGTGCCTATTACCACTTGTCCTGTCAGTGGGCGTAACAGGGAAGAGCCTAATTCTGTCTTCTTCATTCCCTTCTGGCAGGTGTTTATAACACTGATAAGATTTCCCCCCCAAGCCATCTCTGTTCTAGGCTGAACAAACCCAGCTCTCCCAACCTTTCGTTTTATGAGAGATGCCCCAGTCTCTTAATCATCAGCATTGAGTACTTTTGAAGCATTACCCAATTCACTAAGGTATTTGTGAGTTTTCAGCTGATAGACCAATAGCAGTTTTCTTCTCTTTTAATGTGGTAAATGTAAACAAATACAATGCTCTAAGGAGAGCAGTCCTTTCATTTAAAGACCATCAATAAGAAAATTTAAGTATGTGCTTATTTTAACAAAGTTAAAATGTCTCTCTTTTTCTCTTCTTCTCCTCCATCCCTTTCTCTTTTGGATAGTGTTCCTGTTAGACTATAGGTTATGAGCTCCTGGCTCTGTATTTTTGGGATGGATTCTTTACTAGAGCCCAGCAATCAGCCCAACTCACCTCAGTTGTCTCTACTTTCATTATGCTCCTTAAGGAAGCTCAGTTCGATTCACCTGCCTCCATGCTTAATCGGTCACACTTTTTATCTTGGTGGGGCAGTTTTTTTCTCTCACCTTAGTGACATATTGCTCTCCTCACACTGCAGAGTGTACAGGCATAGAAAATTAGCAAGATCCTTAGAGCAAAAGATGTTTATGAATTTATTCTATTTTATGTATTTATTTATTATTTAATTATTATTTTACAGGAACGATTGTTCAACGGCATCGGATTCCACTTCCACCTCCATGTGAAGATCAGTTCTATACTATAGATCATTTCAATATCAACATAGAAGTAACCTTTTATGCCCGAAAGTATAAGATCACTGATTGTGACCAGTTTACAAAAAATTTCCTGAGGAAAATGGGAGTTAGATTAAATCCTCCCACAAGTCGTCCAGATGATCCATACACCCAAGAGAGGCAAAAGGTCAGATGAGGCAATAATAATGAAAATCTGATTTAATAGAAGTGCCGTTGCTATTGCTATTAGCAATATACATTATATAAAATACTTCTCTAATAGCAAATAGAAAGTAGCTCTTTCAACATTAGTAAATCCCAAGAGAAAACTTGCCTTAAAAGATTTTATTCTATGGCTCATTGTACTTACATAGTACTGAGTTTCTCCTGATGTGTTCACACACCTTTTGAAAGAGAACGAAATTAACTGGTAAAAATAAAAGAAACCTCTCAGTGTTAAACTGAAAAAGAAAAAAAAAAGTGACCTATGATATATTCTACTTATGATTATGCTTGAACTAATGTAATGATAATAAACACTTTTAAAGGAAGACCTAATTGGAATTGTGGTTCAAGCACACCCATGTCTTCCTGTAGACTTGCTTGGTCTATTCATAAGTCATCTTTCATCTCTAGCCCACATGTTATTAACAGCTCTTTGCATATGTAAAGCAAATTCTTCTGTTACACAGAACCCAGCACTCTGCAGTTTTAAGAGTTTTGAGGTTTTATTTGAAGGCAGTTCCCTGTTTCATGACTATATGTGAACACATACACACCTCTTCCAAAAATCTCACTTGTAGCTCCTAGATGCTGTATGGATTCCCTTCTGCAGGATTTGTGGTCTTTACTCTGGGAATGGTAGTGGGAGTGATGTTTTCTGTAAGGAATAGTGACAGTTTCTTTCTGTTCTGTTTTTCTTGATCAGAATGAGTGCAGATGACACTGTAATTTTCTCTTGACCTGACTCTGTTAGTACTGTTGGCCCACTATATACATCTGGTTGTGATAAATCCAGCCTAGTAGTCTGAAAACAACAAATACTCCATGAATCTGTTCCATTCATCTTAATGCTGCTGTTGAAAGAACTGCTGTAGCTCTCAGCAACAAAAATGGAAGGTAGTTGTGACTCAGATGTGTACAGCAATTTGCATGTCTCTGAGGCACCCTCAGGCCAATGTGTTGGTTTCATTTCATTCATGCTTTCAGCCTTTTTGCAGTCCCCCAGTGAAAAGTAATGTTTGTAATACATCTCCTAATTCTGCAGAGGGGTGACTCAGGCTGGCCCTAGGTTGCTTTTCGCTTACTCAGGTCTTGCAGGTAACAGGTGTGTATTAACACATGCTGAGTTGTCTTGATACTGGCAAGCTGTGTGATTATATATGGTACTGCATAACCTGCTTAGATTGTGGTTTTTCTTTGTAAAAAGAACAAGCAAAACATTCACGTGTTGTGCATATGTGTGCCTGAAGAGGATGGAGAGGAGAAAAAGGTTTAAGAAATAAGAGAAGGCTAAGAATTACTAAAATCTATGTCTTAATATTCTTACTCTTTGAGAAATTACGGAAAAGTTATTCTGGCTGCTTATGCTCTTGCTTTCCTGTGACTAACTTGTGGAAGGTGATTTTTTTTGTTTGTTTATTGAGGGCACATTGGTCCGGACTGCTTTGAACAGGGTTAAATAGATTTGTACCAGACTCCCAACAGATGGTCAGAAACTGAAGGTATGAAAGGAAGTAAGGAATACTATGAGAAAGTAAGACCACTGAAAAATGTAACAAATCCCTTAGGTTTAAATTTCTGTGTTGTTGGAGATGATACCCCATGGCTGTTGATGTTATCTAGCTCCGTGGCTGTATTTGGTTGCTCATTGCATTTTCAAATTTCAGGATGGAGGAAAGATGTTGCTGGGAAGGTAAATAACTGACTTACAGCCTATGAGCATGATGGTGCCTGAAATGGCAAGTACTGCAGATCAGCAAGTACATTGGCAGGCAGAACTTGGTTCTGCTCTCCTTATTTTAAGATTTGATGTTCTGAAATAAAGTGCATTTTCTCTCTCAGATTTTTAAGGCTAGAAGATATATCAGTGGATAAATAGAAATTTAGACAGTGATATAAACTACTCATAGTCAACAGTTCTTTCTATTCAGACAGTTAAGCTTACACTGTCACCATTCTTCTTTTGAAGCAATTTTGCAGAATTTTGTAGATTAGGGATGTCTTGCCCCTTCAACCCATTTTGGACATGATGGATTTTGACTTAGGAAAAACACCCTGTTCATGTCACCATTTTTATGAGGCTGTAACTAACAGTATGTAAATGCAGTCTTCAGATTCAAATCATCATCCTGGGATCCAGTTTAAGGCAGTGCTACTGGTTTTGCAGCAACCATGACTGTAGATGACCTTTGTCATAGATCACATCAGCTGGAATAGATCTTTAGTTGGAGATTTCCTATTCCTTTTCAGGCTGTTGGGTATATATGAAGAGGAGAACATATGAACCCGGCACCCATCAACTGTATGACATAAATCAAAAGTTAATAAATTATGGCTTAAAGCTAAAAGAAAGGAGACATCAAACAGGAAAGAAATAATTAATTCTTTATGCCAGATGATTTATAAAAAATAATTCCCGAGGAAGTAAATTGGGAAGGTGAGGCTATTGGTTGTTGTAGTCATCGGATTACCATGGATAATTTATTGAAATAAATTAACAATTCTCTGATCTGAAGGCTGTTCTTGCAAGAAAAACAAGGATCAAAACAATCCAAAAGTGTTTTCATCTGTTTTCTGAGGGCACAGCAGCCCTGAAAATAGTTCTTTGGTAATGGCATAAGTAGTGCAAATGTAATTGTGTGGCATTATTTGAAAATCCTAAAAGCATATTATAAGATTAGCTGATACCCTGCAGTTTGGAATCCTGTTTTTAAGAACAAATAATTAAAAAGTTGTTTATTTTAATTTCACCTTTATCTGCAGACTCTGGATAGTATGACGCCATTTCGCCCTTATGAGCGCATTGACACTTTGAAACAATTTCTAGAGCATGATGGACATGTTTTACGTTTTTTCTGTGTGTGGGATGACCCCCAATCCATGTTTCATGACCCACGAGAACTTGTTCTGCACTATTACTTGTCTGATGATACTATTGATATTAAAGAAATTGTACCAATAAACTCAGGCCGGGATGCAGTTCCACTGTTCCTCAGAAGAGATAAGCTTCCAAAGGTGAGGAATGAAAATTTCAACTTATTTCAAGTTCTTCAGCTTATTGAGAAACATTAAATGCATTGTTTTGAAAATCCTGTATTAGGATTGTAATGATATTTAGAAAGTGTCATTAGAGTATTAATAAAAATTGCATGATTAGGTTTTACACACATATTCATAGGACAGTTCAATAAGTCATGTAAAAAAAAGTTTAACCTTCTCTTGCTTAAATTAAAAGGACAGAAAATTTAGGCAGAAAGATATCCTATGATTTCCTTTCTCCCATGTTAGTGTATTAAGTTAAATGTTTTAATAAAGCTCTGCAGTGATGGAAGTCCGGAAGATTAACTAATATTGATAGATAAACTAGTGTAGAACTGAGGTGAATTCAGATTTGATCCATGACTGGTATCTGGAACCTTTGGAAAAGTACAGTTTTAGTATTCCGTACCATTACTGCTGTGTAGCAAATCTAGAGCAATCTCTTAAAATTAAGTTCCTAGATTTGGGACCTTATGCAAAGCTGGTTAAATAGGAATCCATGAATAAGCTTTTTCAGGCATTAATCAGGTGCTTATTTGAGAAGGCTTCTCTTGGAGAAATCTTCAAGAGGGTTGTATCCTCTGTAGCTCATTATGATTATAAAATTAATGAGCTGGACACACTTCTGTATCACTCCAGACAGATCCTGATGGTGGAATAACTTAAACCCACAGCTGGAGTAAACTACTAGGGGATCTTTTCCCTTGTTCCCTTCTAATATTGGCAATCTATTTATGATGCCATAGATGTACAAGAGATTTTGTAGTAAAAACCTGACAGCAAAATACTGCACTTTTCTCACTTTGTGCATCCTCTGTTCCAAGGTCCTCATTTAGCAGTGGCTCTGTGTAAACAGACCTCTTCTACCATTGAAGTGCATGGGGTGTCAGAGAAGGTGGTTTGGTTACCCACTTTGGTTACTCTGCATCAGCAGTTTGTTAGTAATCTAAAAATATGTAGGTGTTTGTGTAATAAGAATGATATTAGTGGGCTAAATTATTATTGTAATTTTGAAACTCCCCAAAATATTAACATTTTAACCAATAGAATCATGCTGACTTGAATCTCCTGTATTTGTGCAGTGGCTAGCAGAGTAGGACCAGCCCTGAGTGGTTCTTCTGCATGTTTTTATAATTGACTAATCAAAATAATAGCTTTTAGAGCAGATGTTGATGCTGATGTGCTGCTTTGGGTGTGCTAACTTCTGCTTTCTGTTTGCTTCCAAGGAAAAGGAGACTTTACTCTTGGATGCACAATAAGATTCTGAGTACTTCTTTTGGCATACAGTACTGGTGTTTGGCATATGTTGGCTAGTAGGTTTGGTGGTATAAATTTGACTTAGAAATTAATAAAAGGTCTCCCAAGAAAATACTACAGTTACAGTCATTCTGTAAAAAACCTGCTAGTTCTAAGGTAATTGAGTTCCCTTTCTTCACTGTTAACTGTATTTCTTAAGAGTTGGTCTCTTTTCTTGCAGCATGCTCCCATGGGGCTGTATCAGCCGGGTACAATCACTGATCGCACTGTTCTCAATGTGCTTGGGAATTTAGTAGGAAACAAAGGCCGTTATATTCTGGACAATCGTAAGGTCAGTTACTATTGAATGCCTCTAGCTGTTGAATGTATAGTAGCTTTCATAATTTCTGTAGTTGTTACTCTCTACAACAGAGAGTTATTTGTAAAACTGTGTTGCCACTGGAGAATAGCTCAAATGAAAACTACTCAGATTTACTGTATGTAAATGCCATGCTTGTAAAAGTGAGGTAGCTTAGCATGACCCATGCTAAATGAAAAATACTTTCAAATGGACTGTGAAGGTTATATTTTAAATCACACACACTAAATGACCTAGATTTTAAGGAAGGTTGTGGGATTCTGAGAATTATAGAGCTGCTGTACAAGTGTTCGTCTTTTATTAGACAGGAGCTGTGCACCAGGAATTTTACAAAGACAGTGACCTGAAAATAGGGGCAGTAATTAATGTGTGGGGAAGGAAGATAATTCTCTGTGATTGTGATGAATTCACTAAAGAATATTACAGGACAAAGTACGGAATCGGTAAGTAGTGATAATTATCCTTTCCATATGAGCATTTTTATACTTCAGAGTTTGACAGAGCTGTCTTCGAATTTTATAACTGACAAAACATGTTCATTAAAACCTTTAGCAATAACAATCTCTTGTAGGCTGTTAACAGCAAAGCAGTAATTTTGCAGGTGATCCAGAAGGGCTTTCTCCTATATTACTCTATTGAAAACTAACACATAATGTACATGTTCTGTTCCTAACTGCCTCTATTTTAAAACTAGAATGACAAAATAGTCATATGGATAGACTGCTATTTCTTCTTCTCTCCTTCACCATCCCATTCCAATCACTGTGTTTGCAGTCAGAACATAGTAAAGAGCGTGTAGTGAGTGGGTAAGTAGAATGAGTTCAATTATTCCCCATTATGCTATATTTCATTTTATATGGATGTCAAAATCCTCACATAATAAGATTTTCTGACACAACAGTAGTACTCTATCACATTATTGTTTTTTACAAAACAGTTTTCTGTATTCTGGACCATTAGAGAAATATCATATGAAATTTCAGCACTGAATTCTGGAAACATTTAGCAACCCTGTCCATAATAGAAAAGCAGAATAGGAGCTTTCATTTATCTGTCTTTGAATCCCTCAAGTCAGACTTGCTAATGGTTTTATTATGGACATCTTCCTGCAAAAACAACTTAGTTAATTTCTGGCAGTTTATTCATTCAATAAATATAGCTAAGTGTGTGTCTGTTCAGAGATGGTTCGAGGGATCCTAATATGGCCTTTCTCTGACACTGTGAAACATAATACCTGAGTAGACTATTTCTTTCAGCTTGACTTGTGATCAGACAGTGTAATGTTTGGATCAAAGCTTGGCAGCTGCTTTGGGAAAATTAAATGATGTAGCACTACCATTCAAACACTAAATTTATTAATTGGCAAAACATGTCTCATTAGGACCTTTTTAATAATAGTTCAGCATGTCTGTACCAAAATAAATCTTTTCTTATTCTAGCTGGTGTGTGAGGAAGCCATATTCAATAACTGTAGTATTATCTACAATAATAGTGAGTATAACTCCAGAGATGCAAAACAGGGAGTTCTTCCCTGAGAATTTCTTCAGCCAAGACCACTGCCGCTGTTTGGCAGCAATAATCTCTGTCTGAGCAAAATATCCTGGAACAGTGAATGGGGATTTCTCACAGCAGGCAATAAATGAAATGCAGCTGACCATTCTGTATCAGCCAAGCAATGCAACAACACAAAGTCTCCTCTCCTCCTATACTGCTGGCTCAGTAATTACTGGTTATGTGTCTGGATGTTAAAGTTAAGTGGTTTGCAAGTTTGGAGAAGTCAGAAGTTGCTGATGTGCAGAATTCTAGAAAATTGGAACAGTAGGTGATGTAGTCATAGAATCATAGTATAGTTTGGGTTTGAAGGGACTTTCAAAAGTCATCTAGTCCATTCCCATTGTTCTGAGACAGGATAGTGTATGTACACAGATTGTCACTGGTGTTTGTAAAGCCTTTTATCAGCATCCTTCAGTACAGGAGATTTCTTTGCTGCCTGAGGTATCTGGTCCTAACCTTAGTGTTAGAAATGCTGTTTAATAGCTACCTTGAAGTTGGTTTGTGTAAACTGAGAGAGTAACTTTTTTGTCTTACCTTTATTGGACATGGAGAACAACTGCTCAGTATCATCTTCTTATAGCAACCTTGTACATATTAGAACACTATTCCAATACACCATCTTACCATTCTAACCTCCTTCTGGGCCATTTGCTGCTAGGGGAAACCTTTCAGTTTTTCTCCGTAGTCCATTCTTTAATATCCAAAGTAGTTTTTTATCTTCCTCCTCTCCTCCTCACCACCCTCCCCCCCAGTGCTCTCTTAAGTTTCTCTGCCTCCTTAACATGAAGCGCACAAAGATGTGCTCTATCTGAGATCTTTGGGAAACTGGGAAGTGCTTTACACATATCTTTAAAGGATACATATCTTTATGGCAGAGACTCTGGCTAACATGAAAAAAAATCTATCGTCTTAATCCAGCCTGTCTTGTTCACAGAAAATGCACACTTTCTTAGAGCTAAGACATTCTTGGGATTTTCTGTGAGACTCTTTCCTGCTTTCCCCATCAGAATTAAAAAAAAATGGAGGTATGACTTTTTGACTAGAAGGAACTACGAGTAGAATCGGGGTAGCTTTTGGCTTCAAAGCAGGTTTTGAGAGAGAAGGGATGAGGGTTCACCTTTTATTCTTAGCGAGTTACAGATTTTTCTTGTGTCTGGTGGACATACAAGGTGCTGTCGGTGGACTCAGTGCCACAAAGTGCCCAGCATTCTGCTCCCATCCAATTAAGCAGTTTGAGTCCAGGGAGACCATTTTCTTGAGTAGGAGTAAGCAAGTGGATAAATTAGTTCTTACATCAAGGCACAACGCTTAGCACCTCATGGCATCAATCCAGCTGTTTGTTATTGTGTTTTCACATTACTCCCCTTCAGTTTATGCTCTTCTGCCAAAGCCATTAAAGAGGCTGACATTTATTTTTGACTCTGCAGTTTCAGCGTAAGTTGCTTGCTGATGGAATTTGCCCTTTAGGAGAATTAAGGGCAGTTTATATTTCCTTTGAAGTGCATGATTATGGTATCTGATATATTTCCAATGTTGGTGCCTGTTTTACTCTTTATACTGTTTGTAGAAAGCAAAAGAGTGTTTTTCCATGGGTAAACAATAGCTAATGCCCTTCAATAGGAAGCTAACGACATTACTGTCATGTAGCAGTGCTATGAATGCAAGAGAATATGTCTTAATGTGTGATATTGTCTGTCCAGAATTGCTAGTGCAGCCTCAGAGGGGGCGAAAAGTATTCTATAGCCATGTAGGTGTTGTGGTCACCCAGATGAAAGAGACTGATGTGCAGTGGAGGAAGCTGATACTCGTTCTTGCTGAATACAGTATCTTAGCACAAAGTTGAGTATAAAGTGCTCTTTCTTAAATGACGGATCGCTCCTGAAGGAACAAAACAAGTAAAATCTGGTTTCCTTTTGCTTTTCATTCAATGTCCCAGCACTTCCCAGGCCTGTTACGCCTTTTCGCAGCGCCCTGCGGTCCCTCTCCTGTCCCAGCTCTCCTCGCCCTCCCACCCCCTCATTTCTCAGGCTCCCTCACTGACCTGCTGCTTGGGCAGAGCAGTGTGTGGGGTGATCGGCTGGCCAGTACATGTGTGCTTTTGGCCAGGCAGCTGCTGCTGGATAACAGCTGACTTCTTGCTTTTCCCTCAGTGGGGGCATTAAAGCCTGCTGCCAATTTTCACTAGGCTTGTCAGAGATCAGAGCCTCTCTGGCGTCTAACCTCTCTGGTCCATGTGTAGGAGACTGAACAACAGCTTCTAAATATACTTGTGCATTTACAGATGCCTTTTTTCCTCAGGTAACCGGAATAATCCTGAAGTAAGACTCTTCTGTGAGCACTGGATTTTCTTTAATCTTGAATGTATAAGTTATAAAGATGGTGGTATTGCCATCTTCTTTTACTTCTTACCTAATCTGTGAAACACAATCTCACAAAAAACACATCTCAGCTGTTTGTTATACATGTCCTCTTATTTATAGAAAACATCATGTTAACAATGTCATCCCTCCAGGGGTATCACCACCTCTCATACGGCCTAAGGCTAGTGGGATTTTTTTCTCCTGTTCTTGGCTGTAATGCTCAAAGGTATTGGTCCTTTTCCTCTGAAGGCAGGATTTCTTTCCTGTCTGCTGTTTACTGATATTCAGTATGGTTATCACTTCGATCCAAACTATGTAGCACTTGACTCTTCCTTGAAACATAGTTTCATTTAACATTTGAGAGTTTTCCTACAGTTCCTTCATTGAGGGCAGAAGGTAATCTTACAGTGTGTACCAAAATCTTAAAGAGTGTATACTGAAACTGAAAGCAGGCGAGCTCATTTAAACTGGTTTAATGATGTCTATGTGGAAGAAAATTTCTTCTTGAGGAATTTAGTTTTTCTTCCTGAGGAGGCTATCACAGAATCATAGAATGGTTTGGGTTGGAAGAGACCTTAAAGATCAACTAATTCCAACCCCCTGCTGTGGGCAGGGACACCTTCCACTGGACCAGGTTGCTCAAAGCCTCATCCAGCCTGGTTGTGCTATCTTCAGATTGTTTATATGCTAAAGATGTGGCTGGAACTGTTTTGTTTCTTGCTGTTCCCATTGCTTGTTCAAGTTTCACTCATGAGAAAAAGTTACTAGTATGTGGTAATCATTTGATGTACTAAGTGAAATAAACCCCTGGTGCCAGCCCAGGGGCATCGGTCAGTGCAGTAACAAGGGGTGAAACTGTCCATGGGGATATTACCTGGGTTATTCTTTCCAGATGTAGAAACTTGTAATCCCAGACTTTCAATATACCCTCTATCCACTGTACATTCACACTGAAAATGTGATAACTTGGAAGAAGAGAGCACTCATTCCTTTTCCAGACTGGACAGAGGTAATTTTCTTAAGAAACAGTGATACCCTTGAGAGGAGTGTATTTTATGTGTAAGTGTAAGTTGTCTGTCTGATTCCACCCTAATGATGTGTAGCAGAGCAAAGATGAAATGCATTTTGAGCCGAGGTATGGCTGTATATACTATATATCTATATATCTATATAGAATATAGATATAACTCTATATATAGACATATATATGCTACTGCATCTTGCTGGCCGTTCAGAAGTTGCAGAAATGAGTTTTTAACTAGTTTCATAAACTGTATTTCTCCATGGCAATTTCTTCCTGAATTTCTTCCTTCACAGGAGAGAGTCTGAATACATAATCCTCTTAAATCCTGGAAACTGTAGGTAGCACATACATGTTTTGTGTTCTCTTCAGTGAATCTGAATGAAACAAGGTCATTTTACCTCGGATGGGATGGGAACCAAGTGCTGAACTTTTCTTTGGATTTGTTTACTCCAAGCTGGGGTTGTGAGGGATTCAGCATTCTGTCAGGTGCTAACACAGTATTCCT